TAACTTGATACGCTCCCTAGCTTAGTGTTCACAAACCTTTGTCTGTCGTGTGCTTACATGTATTTCGTTATTGAAATACTGGATTATTGGTATTTTATTTTCTGACTGGTTATTGACTTCTTGTCAGTTTATCTGTGGCTTTCTACAATAACAGAGCCAGCTCTTGCTTAGGAGAAGACCTTAGATGGAAAAGGGCAAATCACTTCCTTTTGTCCATAGTGGAACTCCCATTTAATGAGGGTAGCTACTTAAAACCTAAAGGTTTCAAATATATTTATAACCTGAAATAAATCATAATGGTACTTCTAAGAATGGAGGGCTAAACCTTTCTGTTTCTGTGAGGTGTTGGGAATTGCTTTGGATGTCTAAATGGCATGCAGTCGGTAACATCAGAAGAAAAGGCTTATGTACAAATGATCTGTATTTAGACAGTTTCACCCCCGGGGATCTTTAGTCCTCTTGAAATTTCAGTTCTTCTTAGGATGCTGACAGGGTTGTTCTGAAGCAACATGTAACTTGGCTGAATCTTCCACATAAATTCTGACACTTTCTGAAATTGTTACGGATTCCTCTTCTTAAGTATCTCTAGTTCAGTTCTTGTTCAGGAGTGTCTTTGCTGGGAAGCAGCAGGGGTTCTTTTATTTTTATACTACTTTTGTGCCTATTCTTTGTACTACATGCTAGTAAATTGCCTTAAAATCCCTTTTATTCTGGAGTAGAGACATGATTTTAAGAGAGATTAATGCACTTGTTTATACAAGTCGCCATGTGACTAAAAGGCTGTTAATTTATTTATAACTTTCAAAACTATATTCAGAGGTATGTATTGCTTCTCTCTTTCTGGAACATTCTGTTCCAGGGATCAACTATGTGGAGTAGTTCCCAGCTGGCAGTTGTCATAGGTAGTGTGACACTGGTGTGAGTGGGTTGTTTTTTAGATGGCTGTTTAGTTCTCTGTACAGCTTACAGAAGTGTAAACAAATTTAAATGAGTAATAATTCCTGATGTGGATGAGGTTCTCTCACAGAGTTCGGACATACCCCAAGCGTATGTCCCTTTTAAAAGCGAAGGAGTCTAGAGCTACTTGCTGTGGTGCGTTGCAGTTTCTCACTTTTCACATAGATGTTTATTATAAAGCTTTTTCCTGATAACAACTATTGGTCAGTTTGGATGTTGAAGGCCTTCTGGGATGTACTGAATTTGGAGTAGAGAATTCAGTAAAATATAATGGACTGTTTTCTAGGGAGATGCGCTGTTGGATATCCTAATTCATTATCAATCTACTTTCTTTTACTGCATCACAGCCCTTTTTTTTTTTTTTCCTGATAGATTCAAAAATAAGCAGTTAAGGAGCTTGCAAGGAACCTTTTTTCAATAGGAAAGATTTGCCTGCCCATTTTGCAGCGGACACGTACATGACACCATGATTTCCTACAGGAACAGTAACACTCCGAGTCTTTTCTCAAATGTGCCATAGATAGTGTGTCAGTGATAACGCAGTTACCTAGCTTCAGTGTTCCTGAAAGCTTTAGTGCAGGCCCTCAATCTCTGTGTATCTTGGTGTCCTAATGTGATCCATAATGCTTCATGTTCTGCTTGAAATTGGGTTTTGATCTCTATACTGAGGTGTATTTAGAGAAGCACACGGGATACATGTCCGTGCAGTTCTACAGCTTAAGCAGGGATGACGTTTTTTGTACTATTTTGAAGACTTGTAACTCTTAGAACTATGATTATATAAGTCTCTAATGCTGGAGAGTTTTTGTTAACCAATATGAAACAAACTTTAAAAGCTTACAGTTCAGAAAACACTCAAAAAGAATGTTAGAATGTTACTTGGCACTTAAGACACCACTTGTATATCAGAGACCCACATTTTTTCATGATTAGTGAACTACTCACGTCACAACTAGGATCTCTTCCTCTGGAGAGAGAGGAGGCCTGTTCAGTGTACATTTATTGGTTCCTGTAGGCAACGTTGTCTGAGCTAGAATTTCTGTATGTGAAAGAGCTGCCGTGGTCTGTTTGTTACCAGAAAGACCTTCTATCTTCCCACTTCCACTGCAGTGGAAGTTTTCAGTAACTCTGAAGGTGGGTATAACCAGGGGTTGCCTTGGAACAAACTTGTGTGTTGCCTCTACTAGATGTAATACGGCCTTGGGAAATCCCGTGTTTAACACTAATTTAGTGGCTGCTGCCACTGTGGTTCTCCACGCTGCTGCCCCTCTCCCCATTCTGATCCCTGGCACAGGTCTCTGGGTGGCCTTGCGTGAGCCAGGGGGTCAGAACAGATGATCTCCAGAGGTCCCTTCCCACCTCAGCCATTCTGGGAGTCTATGAAAAAAGCTTTTTAATATGGAAGAAGAAAACAAAAAAAAAAAGTTTTGGGGGAACATGGGAGGGATGGTAAGAACGATGTTAATTCTGCTTCAGATAAAGGGCTTTTCTCTGGTACCAAAGCTGGCTTTAATTTATACTGAGCTTACATACTGCTACTTCTCTGTTGGTCCTGGTGGCAAGTAGCTGAACTTGGGTTGCTCCTACTTCACAAGCCTCGTAAAGTACAGTTGTAACACACGTGTTTTTTTTAAAAAGTTGGTTTTGGCTTATAGAGTACGCTTGGTTTTGGTTTTGTCTTCTTTGAAATAGCTTGTCCCCTTTGGGGGAGGAAAAGGGAGGGGGCAGAGAGCAAACTGTCACATGAAAAATGCTTAAAGTAATAACGATACTAAAGAAAAAAAAAAGCTGTGGATTATATTCTACCTGCCTAACCCTGCTATACTGACCTTCTAGAGCTCTCATTCAGTTTGGTACCACTGAAATAGTAATTTATATGTGCAATGTGTATTATTTTATCTGTAATATAAATATAGATTATATAAACTAATATCATGGAGTTTCTTTACATTAACTCAATATCCTTCTTTTTCGAATGAAAGGGAATTCAGTTTGTTGTTTATGGGTGTGTACTTAGGCACAAATTTATTACCGCTCTATGTTTCATCTTTGGTGAAGACAGGATAACACTTCTCACACTTTTCCCAGTCTCTCCTTCAGGGAGCAACGATGCTTAAATTTCATTCTGGGCAAGTGAGACACAATTTAAAATAGTATTTTCAGGATTTAGATACCAAGCTTTTTTAAGTAAGTGATTCTTGTAAGAACTTAAAATTCGCACGTTCTTGTAAGAACCTCTGGCAGTCTTGGTTGACCATGGTCAGGTTACTCAGGGAGATGAAGGGCTCATGTGTGAGGGTGGAATTGATGAAGGCGAAGCAGGCAGTCTCAGTGTGGTAGGCTAAGCTCACTTACGGATGATGGTAGGCAATGCATGGAATGCACTGCTGACGATAACTCGTCGGTTGTCTAGTTAGGAGGAAGATGGTTTATGCATCTACCATGCACCTGAGTTAATCACTACACCAAGAAAAAGTTGTGGAGCTTCTGGATAGGGAACAAGTATTGCAGTAAAATCTTGGGGTTTTACTATTCGTTGGTGCATTCTAGCAGATTATCTGTATTTTATTACTTCGGTTTAGGTAAAGATGCACTTGGACTCTCAGCCAAGTGCATATGCTGGTGTATTCTCATCGTGTGAAAACTAATAAATATATTGTCTACCTTTTGTAACTTTCCACTGGAATGCCTAGGATAAAGTGTTTTCTTAAATAGAAGTACCTGATAATTCTGGTAGGGATGGAAGACAGGGATGCTTTCTGAAGGCAGAACATGTCAAAACTTGGGCCACTGTTCTTGGTCAGGGATGGAATCTAGATCAAGTTCTCCTTGAATTCAAAAGACCTTATATTAAGAAAAGTACAGTAACTGTGAGATGTTCTCTGTACACTAATTTTGTATTTAGGGCTGAAGGGTAGCTTGTATTTGATAAATATTTCATTCTTGCATTTTAGGGTTTTAAATCAGGGTAACTTCCTATAGTTCTGCAGATAATGGTCTTACTGCATGTAAGGGTGTTTTTTCAGCATTAATACTGGTTTTTCTTAATCATGTTCTGTATTATCCCTTTATTATGCTAAAGTTTCTATTATTAATAGTAAAAGTTTCTTCTAACAACGGTCAGATGCTCGATAGCACTTCTGAAAATCATGAGCATGGGGAGCTGAAGGTCTGCAACTATGGATATTTATTTTTCAGGTCTGTGTTCTGTGGAGCATGTTCTTTTAAGTGCAGAGATTTTTACAGAGTGCTTTCCTGTGAGAACTAACTTATATAGAATCTTTAAAGTTTTCACCAATGCATATGAAGATGACTCTTGCATCCTGTAGCTGTCTGACAAGCACTATTTATCAAGTACAGAGGAAATTGATTAACCGTGAAGCAGAATTGTGTAAAATTGAATTCAGAACCATTTTCTGTTTTTTTCATAATAAAATGATTACTGAAAGAATTCCATCTGAAGACTGTTGAAAGCTGGCTGCAGTTTATGATACAACGGATAAAATCTGCATCCTTGGCCTTCCAACAACCTTTACACCAGCAGATGGTGGGCGTAAAGATGTCATTCATCATTTATTTACAATGGGCTTTATTTATTCTAGTGTCAACAGCTGCCCCAGGGAGCGGGTTATTGAATTCAAATGTGAAGCTCTGGGTTATTTGCTTCCTTTCAAATTTGTCTTCAGAGCTTAGTTGCTAGGAGTCCATTCTGTGCTCTAATAATGATTCATGTATTGTGAAGCCATTCAGTAAATTGGGTTGTCAGGGATTGCCAAAAAAGGTTTAGAGGTCTTGTTCCGATTTTTTTGGTTTTGTATTTTTTTTTTTAACAGCACTGTGCTGTAGTTGGTGTCTTCTGCTTATGTGCCTTCTCTTGCTCATGTGAGGGACTTTGTCCCCTCTCTGATTTCCCCCCCGTACTCCTCCTTTTCCCCAGCCTCTCAGCAAGTAGAATTCTGATTCTGTGATTTTAAAGTTTGTGGTTTTCAGCACCAAAAAAGATAAATTTGAGATATGAAGTAACGAAACTTTGTCTTCTACAGGCAGGGCAGGAGTCCTTCCGTTCCATTACGAGATCATACTACAGAGGGGCAGCAGGAGCTTTACTAGTGTATGACATCACAAGGTGAGAATACCAAGGAGGTATAACTGGGTTAAAATTACATGTCTCTGTAAAATTGTGTTGTGGTATATAGCAGTCTTAAAATGTGTAATTTAGTTTGGCTTTTTGTGTAGATACTTTTAATCTTTTGTTTTGCCAACTTTCCTTAAGTGCTCAAGATTAAGATATAGCCTATGTAACCTATACACTTCCAATTTGCTTTGTATAGTGGTTGAGGAAAAAGGATATGTAAAGTCTCAGAACGAATGAAACACAATATTTTTGACTAATTTTTGCCTAAAATATCTGACCATGAACCTCTGGATTACCTTTATTGAGAAGGACCTTAAAATATTTCACTAATTCCTTTCTAGTGTTTTTCATTACCATGAGCTATAATTTTTCTTTAATTATAGCAGGTTTTTTAGTGAAGTGCCATTCTGCAAAGGGGTGAAATAGTAAAACATCAGAAGTTTCCTGGTGCTTTTATGTATCCATACTTCACCAACTTCTAACTGAGTTTATGAGGTTGGGAAAACACAGTTGTTGGTGTGATTTTTGTAGGAGCTGTTCAGAAGTGACTAAGGAACCATACTTCACCAACTTCTGAGTTTATGAGGTTGGGAAAACACAGTTGTTGGTGTGATTTTTGTAGGAGCTGTTCAGAAGTGACTAAGGTTTTCCTGCTGTATTGAGTAAAGTCTCTATACAACTTACCTGCAAAACTGTGGGTACTGTGGCTGGTTGATGAAAATGTTCTGGCTCCAAAATCCTATTAGGATGTGTGGCTCCCTTTGTGGATCTTGGGTCTCGTTGCATAATTCAGCAACAACTTTCACTTGGGATTTCCTAGACGTTTTTCTTCTTACTCTTTTTGTTCCCCGTTTATTTTTCAGAGTCAGGAAGCAATGTGTTCTTTCCATTGGATTTCCAGCAAATGAATCTTTGATGCATAAATAGATGGGGTTATTCTTGTGAAATGTTGAACACACTTGACGAGCATGTGATTTAATATGTAGTGTACGCGTTCATAAAACCTGTGACGTGCCGTATTCACATACCTTGCTTTAAAAGACTTTGCTGCTGAATTCATTATTTAGTTTATAAACGCAGAGAAAATTGTTGACAACTTTCTGCCTTCAGTAGAACAAATATTATTCTAGGAGTATGTGATTATTTGGACTGTTGTTCTGAATTGGTTGGCCTGTTAGGGACTTATAAAATCTGCTGAATGGAATTTGAAATGTACGTAAAATTGCAGATTCTTACAGCTATAAGAACCTCTTTACCCTTTGTGGCAGACATGGTTTCAATTACTTTTTAGGCTCAGTTCATTAATGTTCCTTGTTTAGTAGATTTCTGTTTGCCTATTGTCCCTCTCACGAAGGGATTACTATCTTTGGACTATGTGTACTAATAAATGAATTGATTACTCAGGTAGAGAAACTGACTAACATAAGGGCAAGATAGGATTCTATGATTTCTTGAAATACTGATTTTCATGTTCATTCTCTTCCGTACTTAGGAGGGACACTTTCAACCACTTGACAACTTGGTTAGAAGATGCTCGTCAGCATTCCAATTCCAACATGGTTATAATGCTTATTGGAAATAAAAGGTAAAATATAACCAGTTACGATTTCATAAGTGGTAAAGGTTTATGACTTCTCTGGATTTCAGGTTTTGTATTTTCTTATTTGTAGAAAGTATGCTAACTTTAGATTACTTTTGTAAATGATTATTTACTCGGTCTTCTCATCAGCTCGACTGTCCAGAGTTCTTAAACCGTTCCCTATTGATGCTGAGACTTTCATCTGTATTGAAAGTCTTTATAAAAACTTATCACTGAATACATTAAGTTTATCTGTAAGTTTTCTAGTTCTTGATCCAGTGAACTCTAGCATCATGTGTAGATGTGAGTTTTTTTCTGGATGCAAACGTTTTCCAAATATCAAAACCATCATCTCCTAATTTAATAACCCCTTAGTTGTTGGCCTTTACCTAATTGACCTTAACTTGTTTTCATGCCTCAGCAGTTCTTGAAGGTAAAGATGCCAGTTGAAATAATGGTGTGTATGTTTGTCCCTTAAAATTTGATGAACAGCCAGATCATTTCTTAGTTACTACTGAGAAACAGCCTTGTGATAGAGCCTGTTTTTGCCACTCTGGCCTGTTCATCTCTTACTTTCTTTTTCTTTACCTTTTTCCCCTGTATTTTCCTCCCTCTGCCCCCCACCCTTTACCTCCCCCTGAAAAACATGTTAAGCATTAAGTAATTGTGAAGCTTGTCCACATTTTTATACATAATCTGGAAAATTACTAACGCTCTTTTTAATTGAGGAATGTGATAAACATAGTCTTCACAAATTAATACAAAAATGTAATCTCTCATTACATGAAGCTTTGGTAAGCCTGTGATGTCCCTGACCAACTGTTTTTATGATTCTGTGAGTAACAATATGGCACTGGGAGAAACAGTGAAGTGTACTGTTTACTTGAGATAAGTATTATATAAGTTTGCACACTTGACATCTGTAACTATTGCTGATTATTCTTAGCTGTTAAACTAAAATTTTGTCTTGCATGCTGCTGATGCAGACTGTACCACATGACTCTGTTATAATCCACTACTTGCAGCTAGCTCAGCAATTCCTAGTTACAATTAGGTTTTATTCAAACAATAAATATACTTAAATTATGTATTTTAAGTTACAGACTAAAGTGCCACATGAAGTAAAAGTTCTTTAAAAAGCTTTTTAAGGGGGGTTATTTTCAAGCCTCAAAGAGGAGGATGGGAAGAAAACTCCTTTAATTACATTGCATTATCCTGAAAATGTGTTACAGGAGTTCTTCTCATAGGACATACTACTAGAGATGGATGGAAGGAAGAACACTGATATTAGCATCATATTTTTGAAGTAATAATTTTTTTGTAGGAGTCCCAAAAGTGCACTTGATAGATGTTTGTAGTACTGACTTACTGCTGGATTTGAAGAGTGCTGAGAATTTAATCTGAAATATAATAGCTGTTTTTGAAAACATGACAAATACTGTACTTAATCTTCTTCCCAGAACAAAGCATAGCTATATTGATCTAGTAAGACCAAATGCTTCAAATTATTGGAATGGAGAGAGGAAGACAACTGTGGTTAGTAGACGCAGTTAAAGCTCTTTAACAATATGTTTAGATATCAGTAGTGAGTTTTGACTGGATTATCACTGCAGGTTTCAGTGCAGTTGCACTATTTCAGGTAAAAAAAAAGTTTTTATTTCTGTTCTTTCATGGAGATAACACTGTAGTGAATCAAGGATTTAAATAAGATATTTTTGTAGATATAGTAGCAAATAAAGACATTGTTCAAGTTCAGAAATATAATGTCAGGTAGTTACTTCAGGGCCATGAGAGAGAACACCTTGTTAAGGTATCTAAGCCTGAGGCTGAGATACTGGGAATGCTTACATGTAATGAACATCAACTGTAAGATTGTTTTGAGAAGACATTTCTTGTATCCTTTTCTTCAAATGCCCAATGTTTAAATGCTGTGCTGAATCCTCTTGGCTCTGTAACTCATCTCAGTTAGCCTACAGCTGTAAAAATAACAAAAACCTGCTTTGCTGCAAAATAGATGCCACAGTGAGTATTGGTTATTTTTAATATTGTGTAATTACAAGGATGGGCGCAGTGAAGCCCAGTATGATGCCTTTTACTGGTATTTTGGCTGCAAATTAAACCTCTGTATTTGTATGCTGTTTAGTTTAAAAATGGGTATCTGAGAAAATATTTCTACATGCACAACTTAGAAATGAAACTTTTATTTAAATATTGTATTTATTATTTATGTATAAACGTGGCACTGTTGTTGCTCAAGGTGTAATACAGACACAAAGAAGGACAGAAACTGTACTACTTCTTCCTAAAGAAGCTTTACAAAAGTAAGAGTGAAATGACCTACAGGTCTCTGGGGAGACCTTATAGCACCTTCCAGTACCTGAAGGGGCTACAAGGAAGCTGGGGGGGGCTTTTTACAAGGGCCTGTAGTGACAGGACAAGGGGTAACGGGTTTAAACTGAAAGTGGGGAGGTTTAGATTGGATATCAGGAAGAAGTTCTTCCCAGAGAGGGGGGGGAGGCACTGGCACAGGTTGCCCAGAGAAGCTGTGGATGCCCCATCCCTGGAAGTGTTCAAGGCCAGGCTGGATGAGGCTTTGAGCAACCTGGTCTAGTGGAAGGTGTCCCTGCCCATGGCAGGGGGGGTGGAACTGGGTGGTCTTTAAGGGCCCTTCCAAACCAAACCACTCCATGATTCTATGATACAGAAACAGATTTTTCTTCGGTTGTCCTGTCCAAGAGGGGTGTTGTTTCCTCTTCTTTTTTCTTTTTTTTTTTGGTAATACATATCTTTCATCTAAACTGCTTGGAAAGCAGGAAACCAGAAATTGTGTAACAGTAATTTCAAATTCTTCTCCTTTTGTAGGTTCAGATCTGGAGTTTCAAAACCTAAATGCTAGCTTGCTGGGAGATAACAGCTAATGTAGTTCAAAATAACTTATTTTTGCTTTTAAGTCTTCTTATCAGAACAGAAATTGGCTATATGAAGTCTTGTTACTGAATATAAAGATGAACTTTATGTTTTAGATTATTTTTAGTATCACTAAGAAATCGTTCATAGAACTCCCTTAGCAGTTCAGCTTTACAGTGTGGATTGGTAGATAACATTATACTAGAAAAGGGTGACGTGTACCTAAAGTGACAACGTCTGAAGTTAGCATCCAAGAAACAGCTAGATAAATACACATGCATCTTGTTGGAAGCGGTTTCATGAAGTCTTTGGTAAGATCTATGTCAGCTACCACTGATAGCTGAAGCAAGTGTGATGATGTCTGTGGCCACTCCGTACGCTCTCAAGTGCAAAGCTTAAGTTCTGCTTTGTGTAAGGGCTCGAAGAGATACTCGTGTGCACACGAGCTCTAGTGGGGGCTCTTGGCTTACAGGCATGTCTCTGGAGAATAGTATTTACATGGACAGGTGAGACCATGCAACTAACTTTTTTTTTTTTTTTACCTTCCATCTTAGTGATTTAGAATCTAGACGAGAAGTCAAGAAAGAGGAAGGCGAAGCATTTGCACGAGAGCATGGACTTATCTTTATGGAAACATCTGCCAAAACTGCTTCCAATGTAGAGGAGGTAACTTTACTGAACACCAGTATTTTAGTAAAACAGTTGGTTTGAATTGCGCTTTATTATTCGTGCAGACACGATTCCACTAGGTTTTGGATTCCTTAACCTGAATTAAGTACCGTTTAATTTATATTATGAGAAAGTCAATGTCTGTGTTGTATCTGATTGCATAGCACTAATTATATTGCTGACACTGTAGTAATTAATACACCTGCTGGGGTTATTTCATATTTGATCAGAGAAATGGGTGCTTCTGTCTGCCCTGAAAGCTAGAAAGTAAGACTAGAATAGATTTGCTAGTCCGAAGCAAGCTGAGCTATTGGCATCCTTGGCAGATGTCACTCTGACCTGTTCTGAAGACCCCTAATATTTCACAAGCTCTTCAGTGCAATCTATTGCCGTGCTTTGGTGTTTGTATTGGTGGCATCTTTCCCCTCTGCTACGTAGCAGGCATCTTCTTTGCTGCATTTCATGCACACAGTTTCTTTTTCTGTCCTCTACGGAGGCCGAAGAGGTTGTTATCTTGGTTGCTGTAGTCTGCGATTGTATTTGTATAAGTTTTCATTCTTGGCTGCTTTAAAGAACTTAAGTCTTTAAGTTCTTAAAGTTAAGCCTTTAAGTAAAGAACTTGAGTAACACGTCTTTAAGTTCTTTATAGTTCACGTTTCTGGGCGTATGTGCATTCTTACCTGTCTCACCTTAATTACTTCACACCCTCCTTAAAGGGTGGTTGTGGTGGGTTGACCTCAGCCAGAGCTAAGTGCCCATCCAATTGGTTACTGATTCCCCCTGTCCAGTGGGATAGGGAAAAGAACCAGAAAAGCCAAAGCAGAAAGAACTTGGGTTGAGATCAAGTTTAATGAATGAAGGAGAGAGGTGGGGGGAAAAAGTGAAGGAAAGGTCACT